ATATCGAATGCCTCTTGCGAGGAAACACGACGACCGTGAAAGAAAGCGTTGCAATAAGGAAATGTGCTCGCTCGCGTGGAAATAAGCTGCGATTTATTTCATACAAACTATAACTGCATACTTTAGGTTTTGATACGTGTAAAAGAGAAAGCTAATCCTCGATTAGTTTATGCTGATTTTTCTATTGCTGTACTTTGACACATCAGTGATCCCTGACTTAAAATATTTTCTGAAATAATCTAGATACATGATTTTTCTTCTTCCGCACCTTTTCACTAGATCCTAAACATCCCAAACATGGAGTACACTTTGGAACAATTAAACTATTTTAGAGCATGTTACATCGCCTTCAACTTAGTTCCCCAAGGGCTTCGAAAAGTGTTCAAACAAGGGTGGGATTTCCTCTACAAGACGACTCCGTTCGGGGAATGGAAAGATATTTCCCAAAACGGCCGCGATTTCTACAGCAAAGAATCAGGAAAGAGTCACACAAAGAATGCGCGACTTTTAACGACAATACAAAGGGGAAACACGGCAGAGTGGGATTGCAGTTGCCTGTTTTTTGGTATTTTGTACTCGGATTGCATTGGCAGTACTCTTAGTCCAGCAGTCAGAAAAGAAGTTGACGATCTCAGACAAGTTCGAAATGATATCGCTCACTTGAACGAGGTTGAACTTACTGATACTGAATTCCATAATTATGTAGCGAGAGTGTTAGCTGCTTTTAATTCACTGAAGCTTCCAATAAATGAAGTTGATGAGATCAAAAACCAGACAGACTTTCCAACAGCTGAAGTAAATAGCCTTAAAATGCAGGCTGATAATCTTAAAGCTGAGTTGAAAACCAAAGAACAAGAAAACAAAAATCTAACCTCGAAATTACAATCGACCCAAGCAACATTACAGACAAAACAGGAAGAAGTAGATACTCTCACTCAGGAAATCAATTCGAAAGTCGAGTCTTTCTGTACTCTGACATTCAAGCCATCACATAAAATTATCAAACGATCAAGTACTGTCACAAGAATCATGAAAAAACTGGACGAGCTATACAACGAAACTAATGGAGCTATCAGTACCATTTATCTATCAGGAATTCCAGGCTGCGGAAAAAGCCAATTAGCTCGACAACTGGCACAGGACATTTTCGATGGGAGGTTGCATGAGAACGACAGTCTTACGTTTGTTGCAACCCTAAATGCAGAAACCCTGGATTCACTTGCAGAGTCCTATTCCAGTCTGGCAAGACATTTGGGAATAACAGAATACACTCTCACTAACCTCGAGACTTCTACAAAGGGGAACCCAAGAGAAAAAATCCAGTATCTGAAGCAAGTCATTTATCCAAAGACGAAGCAGTTCTCCAACTGGCTGATAATTGCAGATAATGTTGTTGACCTATCATTGGTTTGTAGGGATCTGCCTCCAACCGGCAGTGATGAATGGGGCCATGGTCAGGTCCTAATAACTACTCAAGATAGCAGCTCAATACCCTCCAATGCGCCACTTACTTACCATGAGTCTCTTAGCAAAGGAATGCATCCCGATGACTCCGTGAACCTCTTACGACAGGTATCTCAGATTCAGGATCAGAACCAAGATGAAAAAGTCGCTGAAGTTCTTGAGTATCAACCACTTGCTTTAGCAGCCGCTGCCTTTTATGTACAAACCATTGTGGTCAGTGGTTCTCCGAACTACCACTGGAAAGACTACTTGGAAACACTTTCCCACGGCGAACGTGAAGCGACAGAAAAACTTCTTGCAAACCAGAACATAGCGTATTCCGAAACAACAACTACTGCTATTCAAATGGCAATTATGAGAGCTTTAGAAAGTGATGACGTTCTTCGAGAAGCATTGTATTTGTTTTCTCTATGCGCACCTGAGTCTCTTCCGATGGAAGTTGCTGTTGACTTTGTTAAATTACGTATTACTGGGGAAACAGAAGAATTGATTAAAACTAAACTTTTCAAAGCCTCCTTATTGTCCTGTTCACACGACAAAGACAGCTCAGATACCTTTATAAGGATGCACAACATCGTTCATGAAGTGCTCAAGTCAATAACAACATCTAAAATTGACTCAACAGACAGAGTTCAGTGCATTTCTGATGTTATTAAGATCTTTCACTCTTTAATGGAGGAGAACATAAATCAGTTACATTCAAGTAGGCATATTTTTGCTAAGTTACGTGTAATTACGAGTCACTGCAAAGTATTACACGTAATTGTTAACACCGATTTCACTAAATCAAAAGTATTCCTAACTTCAATCAACCCTAGAAAGTTAGTTTCGTGGCTTTCTTTAGCCGCTAATGTTTGCTGTGACCTTAGTAACCCGTCGGATGCATATCGTTTTAGTACGTCAATCTGCAATTTTGTACATTTTCTTAATGATTTCAAGGAAGACAAATTGTTAAGAGCGAACATATACAGCACACAAGGAAATGTTTACAGTGACCTTGGCCAGTACAGTGAAGCTAAAGAATACTATGAGAAGGCTCTCATCATTAGAAAAGAGATTTACGGTGAAAAGCATGGTGACCTAGCAGCAAGTTACAACAATCTGGGAGCTGTTTACAGTGACCTTGGCCAGTACAGTGAAGCTAAAGAATACTATGAGAAGGCTCTCATCATTAGAAAAGAGATTTACGGTGAAAAGCATGGTGACCTAGCAGCAAGTTTCAACAACCTGGGAATTGTTTACAGAGACCTTGGCCAGTACAGTGAAGCTAAAGAATACTATGAGAAGGCTCTCATCATTAGAAAAGAGATTTACGGTGAAAAGCATGGTGACGTAGCAGCAAGTTACAACAACCTGGGAATTGTTTACAGAAACCTTGGCCAGTACAGTGAAGCTAAAGAATACTATGAGAAGGCTCTCATCATTAGAAAAGAGATTTACGGTGAAAAGCATGGTGACGTAGCAGCAAGTTACAACAACCTGGGAATTGTTTACAGAAACCTTGGCCAGTACAGTGAAGCTAAAGAATACTATGAGAAGGCTCTCATCATTAGAAAAGAGATTTACGGTGAAAAGCATGGTAAAGTAGCAGCAAGTTACAACAACCTGGGAGCTGTTTACAGTGACCTTGGCCAGTACAGTGAAGCTAAAGAATACTATGAGAACGCTCTCATCATTAGAAAAGAGATTTACGGTGAAAAGCATGGTGACGTAGCAGCAAGTTACAACAACCTGGGAGTTGTTTACAGTGACCTTGGCCAGTACAGTGAAGCTAAAGAATACTATGAGAAGGCTCTCATCATTAGAAAAGAGATTTACGGTGAAAAGCATGGTGACGTAGCAGCAAGTTACAACAACCTGGGAATTGTTTACAGTGACCTTGGACAGTACAGTGAAGCTAAAGAATACTATGAGAAGGCTCTCATCATTAGAAAAGAGATTTACGGTGAAAAGCATGGTGGAGTAGCAGCAGGTTACAACAACCTGGGAGCTGTTTACAGCGACCTTGGCCAGTACAGTGAAGCTAAAGAATACTATGAGAAGGCTCTAATCATTACAAAAGAGATTTACGGTGAAAAGCATGGTGACGTAGCAGCAAGTTTCAACAACCTGGGAATTGTTTACAGTGACCTTGGCCAGTACAGTGAAGCTAAAGAATACTATGAGAAGGCTCTCATCATTAGAAAAGAGATTTACGGTGAAAAGCATGGTGACGTAGCAGCAAGTTATAACAACCTGGGAGCTGTTTACAGAGACCTTGGCCAGTACAGTGAAGGTAAAGAATACTATGAGAAGGCTCTCATCATTAAAAATGAGATTTACGGTGATCAACATGCTTTGACTGAGCGAACATTCCGCAACTTAAAGATAGTTGATAGGGAAATAAGAGCTCGGACTGTTAATTGCATCATTATCTAAGAAAACAGGCCAAACAAGTAGAAAGTATATTTCCGTTATTATTTCAGTGATTTATTCATTGAGAACTTGTTGAATAATTTGAGGACGTTCGGTGCACTTTTTTTATTTTTGGTTGTTTGTTTCTATTTTATTTTTCTTATTTCATAAGAGCCTTTTTTAAGAAGGTTCAGCCACAGGTAACCCAGGCTCAGTGATAGTACCACAGCACGGTTCTAGTAAAATTACAATGTTTGTACGGGGTAAAAATACGATCCTAAAATTTGTAGGAAATACTAAATATAAGTCAATGAAACTTACCCTGCAGTTAGTTGTTGTTGTCAGGTTGTTGTCCTTATTGCTCCAACAAAGTTTCCTGATAATTTGTTCAAATTCTCTCTATATGCAACTTTAGTATATACACACTCAGTGATCTTGGTAATTCAAGCAATCTGATTGGTTAGCTATGTCGGACTATGACGTTATATTCACCGCGCTAGGCGGTGAATATAAAGCAGAACAAAATCGCTGTCGTGAACTGGTTGTTTTGCCAAAGTTTCATAGTAAAGCCTTTTTTAAAAGACACGAATATCCAAGTGCTGGTGACTTTGAAGGCAAGAAAAGACTTCGTGGTGTTTAAACAGCGTGATTTATTGTGAAGTGGTTTACTGTAGCTGACTTTTTGTACGCTTGAAGCTATGTTTACCACTACAGAGGAAAACGAGGTCGCTTTGTCACTGTTTTGTGATTTCGGGATTTTCTCACAAGACCAATTTTGCCTATAAATAGAAGTTAATTTATGGAGAAAAGAGGAAAGCAAATATTTTCGACAATTGTACGTGCCAGCAAGTTAACAAGGCAAAGAACATTGGAGATAAACAACGCTCACCTTGAACGTAGCCGCTGTTGACAGCATTTGCAAGAAGCGACAAAGAAAACTTTCTCATTCACGGTGAGTTGACAGAAACAAATAAAGCTCCACTTTTCTTCTCAGAATTGAGCAGTAATTTAAATTTTCGGCGTTTTCTTTTAAACCGTTGATGTTAAAGCTTACAAAGCTCGATACAAAAAGATTAAAACTATCATTTGCCTTGTCTGAAGATACTGTAAAGATCTAACTTTTGCGCATCCACTGTTTACGGCTTCGTGTTCACGCATGAATTCACCCGTCAATCAAACTAATCGTTTTTTAATGGTTTCCTTTTTGATTCTGTTGAGATCACTTCGTGTGAATATACTAAAACAATTATTCACCTCAGGCTCAGTTAATATTGTTGAATAATCCCCTCGACTTCGTCTCGGGGATTATTCAACAATATTAACTTCGCCTTCGGCGAATAATTGTTAAATAATATACCAGGTAGGAGACAAGAGAGGCCATCTTCGCCGCCATGCTCTCATTCAACACAACTTTTCCCACGAAATTGGAACTCCAACAGAAAATAAACATTCGAGGATCGTAGTAATAGGATAGCAGCAGATATAGAAACCAATGAAGCTTTCCCAGATAGAAAAACGAATCCCGCAGACTTTGACAAACTCGAAGGATGTAATCCAAAAAGGCCGAGAATATGCTCGCCGAGGTAGCCGGGCCAGATCAACGCGCCGCCAAGAAAATGAGGCCTGGGCACTGTACAAAAAAATCCATCCCGGGGGGCCTTGGTTGGTCTTTCTTGGGACTGATACATAGCTTTACCAAAGGGTTAGCATTAGGTAACATCGGCTGAAGTCAGATTGTTTCTTTCAGTAAAATTACATAAAGAAAAACTTAAGTCTAACTTTACTGTGTAATATAAAAGTGAAATAGAAAAACTCCACTGTGATGCTTTGAACCCGGGTCACTTGCTTTATAGCCTACATCCATATCCACTGCACCATCGAGGACTGGCCGCCAAATCCAGTAATTTTTAAAATATACATCTTCTTATATATGCCGAACCCCATTACAATATTTAAAAGCTAACCGTTTTCAGTTCAGTGCTTAACTCTCTACTGTGTTCTCTCCATAACTGGCGCTCTGTAGTTTTGGTTTCTTCAGCCATTCCCAGTGCTCGCTCGTGTAACACTGGCCTTAATTCTGACGAATTAGTAGCGAGAGATCTATTTCAGGAGTGTGTGGGCGTTTCTCCCTCGAGGGTGGCTTTCTCTATATAAATAAACACGTGTGTAAGCAAATTTGTCTAGTTTGGCTGCAAGGGCGGAAGGATTGCTTTTCCTGCTATTCCTTATCTTTGCCGATGAACAACCTCTTCTGCCGGCCGTGGTTTTGCCTGCTTACATCTTCAGGACGCCACCTGCCGCTGTTCCTCCTCCGGCTGTCTAATAACGCTGTTGTTTCCCGATGTTGTTGCTTCTCCGCACGAGGTAAATTAATTTCTTGTCCCCCTAGTTTGCTTCCACCACGTTTTCCACCACGTTGTCTTAGTCGTTTTTCCCGTGTCGGTATTTTTGTCGGTTGGGGCCGGCTTTAAAACATGCTGTCTTGAAGTTTCCTGTGCAGTCGGGCAGCCGTTTTACTGAATTTTATTTCTCTGCTTGGCTAGTCACGTTTTGATGAAAGCGCTCGTTCATCAAGAGTTCACGCTTATAAATTCCTTCACTTGGTTGTGGCCGAGTGGATTTGTCTTCTGCTGGTTTTATGTCTGGATAAATCTTATATAGTGCTTCAAGTTTGGTTGCTTCGTTTTGTCCGGGTTGTTCCCTATTTGTAGTGTTTTTCAAATTTTGGACTTTCGGGCTTTTGTCCAGAATTTGTGATCTTTTCATTCGTCACTCTCTTTCGACAACTGTCGCCTTGGCTGGTTTCAGTTCTAGGCCTAAACCGGTGTTTCCACTCAGACAGCCTCCTCTACTTGGTTTTTAGTTTGAACTCTTATTGGTCCTTTGTTTTTTATCCGTCGGTTAACCTAATACCATGTACGTTTCGCCCTGCGTACATAGGGTTAAAATAGGACTGGAAAGAAGAAGAAATGGAAGGAAAAAAAGCGGCTACTTTGTTCCCGTATGGTCACCCATCCAGTTCCTAACCCCGTCTAACATGGCTTAATGTAGATGGCCTTAGCTAGGCTTAGCGGATCTGGTATGTTCTTTTTATTTGCCGTCCCGCTTCTTCGTCTACCAAACAAAAAAGTCAGAAAAAGGGGAGCAGGACCGCCTGATCACTGGTTATTTCGTTATCAGCTAGTTGGTGTCAGCTTAGTTTGCAATTTTTTTTCTTTTCTTAATTCCCTCAAGTTTTATCAGTGTTGTGTATCCTTTTACTTACCGCTCCGCTTATTTATGTACCCCCTAGTTTTGGGATGTTTTCGTACCTTTTCTTTAAACGCAATTGCTTGATAGGCGTAGAGGCGTCATAATGCCTGTTTTAACTGTTGTCAACTCGTGGAATCAAAATCTTTAGTACTTCATTTTAATCATGAGATGTCGTCTTGTTGACATTAAAGAAGCTGTTTTATTTTTTCTCTTGTTTCCTGTTTTTCGAAGTTGTTCGTCTTCCCGTGCGTACCAGTATTGCCGTGCCTTGGGTGCGGGTGTCTAATGCCTTTTATGCCTCTTTGAGGTTGCTTAAGGCCGGCAATTCTGGTGGGCTTCCCTCGCTCTCCCTCTTAGCTTTCCGTTGTTTTAATGTCCGTGAATCACCTGTTTGGACACTTTTTGGGGGCTTTCTTGCAATTTACTGGTCATGCTAAGTAGCGCAAGTGGGGGAGGGCAAGCCCACCAGTTTTGTTGGCCTAGCTCCCTCGCCTGATCGGGCCAAATTGCATCAGCTCAGTCAGCCGTACCCCTGTCTTCGGGTATCCGTCTTCCTTTTATTGTATCCAGAGATCTTACCAACAGTTTAGCTCCATGGGAGGTCATTTCGGAAAACGTTCTTCCCCATTAAGAGCCCAAGTGTTTTTTACGAGATTAAGTCCGTGAAGATTGCCTCTCAAGGCAGATTCGAGGGGAATGTACCTTGCACCGTTTCCCCCTGATCGGAATTTGCGGAATTTACTTCCCCTATTATAATACAACATCAGACATTTCTGCAATTTGATTGGCTTTGTGCAGTGGTATTTCAGCTTAAATAGAAATACCTTCACGCGAAAGTTACCATATAAATCTTTGGCGGGTAGTAGTATACTGTAAACAAATAATTATACATTCCATAATGGCTTGTGCGCACTTTGGGGCAAGGTTTGAGAGGCTCTACCCCCTTATCTCGTCGTGCTTATAACTGTTGAGCCTTAAGAATCGCAATTGCGCCACGACAGACGCTTTCTAAATTTGTGAATCAAAGATATTTCGTGTATTACACCCTCCCCCTCGGCTGGGAGGCTGGTGCCTATGTGTATCACACAACTGGTTTATTGGCCACTAGTTGCATTACAATTCCTTGGAGTTCACCCTATTCCTCATACTTCAGTGATTGTCGTGCAGGCCAGGTTATGGTGCACAAGGCGCTAAACCTTCTAGAAAGTCGTCTTCCGCCCCTCCTTGTGCGTCGGTTGGTTGGTTTACCTTTCTGGCTGTACTCCCTTTCTTTAACGTTCGTCCTTCCGGAGATTAGAAGCTCAAGATAAAGGGCTTAAGAGCGTCATTCATCCTGACTCAGGATACTGTGGATCTCGGAAGCTTGCAACGGCTCGCAGGCAAAACCACCTTGTTCTCGCGGCTTTACTTTACACCCGGGCCTCGTCATCTTGCCATCCCGTTACATTACCCGTAAGTCCATTAATAGCATTTAAGCAACTTGCTACGGCGACCTCTACTACGGCGGCCGGAAGTATAAAAAAAACCGAAATGACGCAGTGCGCATGCTTGGAAATGACCTTCCGCCGTAGCGCCAAATCCTACGACGTGAAGAGCTGTCTTCTGGCGTAGTCGCTACTACGTGAGTATAAAACTCGACTCTTCTCCTATTTTTTACGATCACTGGTTTTAAAAGCTATCATAGATTGTTTTTCACTTTATCAAGAAAGTATTCGAGGCTTCTGGTTTTCCAGTGAATACGTTTTCCTTGCGTTTTCTCAGTTTGAGATTTC